GTACCCAAATTATTAATTTGTAATGTTGTATGTGTCACTTCTACAATTAATTGTATATAGAATTTAGCGAATATTTTGATTAATTTGAAGGGGAAATTAACTAGAAGTCCCTAGATATGGAAAATTATTATCAAAAACTACAAGAAAATATTTTGGTTTTAGTAAAAGTTCATCACTTTTAATGTGGTAATGAAATTAGTAAATCGACAAGTACTCGATCTTTTGAAAATTGACGGTAAACGTCAAAAAATCGGTAGTGAATTACATTAAACAAAAGATATTTAACAAGATATGTGATGTGGTACGATTCCACGTCACGTTTTGCAATTCTTCCCTCGCATTTCTTGATTTCTCGCGTGGGCACTACCTGCATCACAAAAAGTCGTTAGGGCGTCGGGATTGGTCCCGGCGAAAACCCTCCGACGCTCAAGTCAACTTTGTATGATAGAAGTAGGGGTGGTTTCGGTACGGTTGCCGAATATTTTGATCAATACCGTGTACCTACCGAATTATATGGTATTGAAAAATTCGATACCGTTATCGTACCAACAAGTGCGGTATGCCGTTATTCGGTATACCGTTACTTTCGGTACGGTATATCGGTACATGGTAGTCTACCGTTAATTTTAATTTGTTATACTTTGAAGACGATCTTTATAAAAACACAACATTTTAAACAAGAACATTGGCTATTTATATGATCATATTCAATTTTTCAAAGCTCCTTGAATATTTATCAAACTTCAACTTCATTAATTTAGCCACACCTTGCAAAATAAGATTATTAGAGTCATGATTTGTTTTTCAATCTCAATTTGCAGCCATACTATTGCCGTGAAAACCAAATTGGATGTACACATTTTTGTTGCACTAAGCTTCAATGTTGTCTAATAAATTTTGAAGAAATGTATTTGAACTTTTTTAAGTTTTGACCTATTTATTTTATGTAGTAATTTTAATTTAGTTAATTATTAACTAATATAAAATAAATATATATTAATTAAATTATAAAATTTAAATTTGCGGTACGGTACGGTATTACCATGGTATTAAAAATACAATACCGCTATCGTACCGTATAGTAGGGTACGGTACAAATACCGTACCAAATGTAGTGGTTACCGAAGTTTCGGTAATTTTTCGGTATTGTTTGGTAGGTATACCGTGGTATTCGGTAGGCGGTAATTATTTTCCAGCCCTAGATAGAAGTATTCAGAGAATTCAAGAGACTGCTCGAGAAATATGAATTGCGTACCTTTAATTGTGAGGTTTCCGGGTATTTATATGGAGATATATATTCTCATGGGCCTAAGCCACTTAATATGGGTCAACTTGGGCCTAACTGTTTAGATCATGTCAGTTTAGGCCTTAACCGACTTGGGCTTGTACTATTATCTTTAGTCGATTTGGGCTTGACTTGTGTGCCTCTATGGGCTTGTAGATATGGGTCCATCAATATGATAACGTAAAAAAAATTAACTGAAAACGGCAGCGAACTTCTTAAAGTTTGACGAAATTAAAATCGACAGGGAATTTCTAAAACTGGCCAACGAACTTAGGTAAATTTGCAATGAACTTCGATAGTAAACTTATGACTGAATTTTTTGTTTTTATTTTTTAGAGAATATTGCAAATATCTAAAAACACATGTAAGATAAGTAGATAACAATAGGTAGAAATATTATTTCCCAAAATAAAACAAAACCATTTGAGACAATAAAAAAGGATGATTCTTCCACTAATCATTGACTATTAAATATTGGGATTTATTAAATAAATAAAAATCGAAAAACTCATACCAAATGTTAAAGGACAGATCCAATGATACGTGTCCTTTTATTTTCTCATTGGAGAACTGCATAATTTAACTGAACGTTTTTTAAGTTACGGCCACCTATGAGATAGGGTGAAATTACGAAAAAAAATTATTTTTGTTTGGATAATTACAATCGCTCCTCACAACTATGTACCGTAAGAATATAAGTGTAAGACAATACATAGTTAAAGGAGGTAATTATAATTACCCAACAAAAAAGGGATTTTCGTGTATTAGCCCTAGCTTAGGGGGCTGGCCGTAATTTTTCCAAATAATTATGTTCCTATATAATATTTTTACTTCTTCCTCTATCTTTCACCTTTTATTTTCTTTTTTAATCATAATCCTTTTGTGATTCGAATTGGCTTCTTCTTTGTAGAATTGTCTTAATTAAACTATTCGATATATTAATATTAAATGATGTATTTTATTAATAGTTTAAATTTTAGGTTGTGGTGGTCGTGGTATCAAACTAGACAAATAAAAAATTCTAAGTTTGAATCGCGCCACCACCCGTTTCAAATATTTCAAGTGATAAGTTTCAAATGTAATTCGAATGCACTTGATGTGTACTAAATATATTAATATTATATGATACATTTTACTAATAGTTCGGTATAATTTATTTATTTTAAAAAATTACACTTATGATATAAATATTATTATGTATTATATATTACCCTGACTAGAAATTGGAACTTTCTGAATTGTGCTGATTTTGATATGTAAATTTCCGATTTCGGAATAGTTTTTTCATTCCAAATTCTGATTTTTCCGTATGTTTTAGGAACGGAATTGGAGTTAGTCTTTCACTTTCGAAAAAAATATCAGGTTTTTTTCAAAAGTTTAATTTCGATCCGAATTGTTTGATTGAGACCTCTACGACCCGACAAATAAAACACGATAAGCCCAACGACATATTCCCATCAGGTCCGGGTCAGCCCAAAGGAATATTCCCACCGAGTATGGGCCGAAACTTAGTGGGCCAACATTTAGGCATATGAAGACTCAAGTTACAACTTTGCCTGGCCCATTTTCCGGTTCAAATCATTTTTCACTTGTCAACTATGTAGCACGGACACGGAAACAGAAACAGAAACGCGGAAACGTATACTGGGGGAACGGCATTTTTTGAAAACACGGATACAGAAACTTGGGGAAAATGTGTAAATATTAAAATTATAGTAGCATATTTATAGATATTCTATATAAATACATATAAATTTTTATTTATATATAAATTTTTTTTAGGGTAAATTACAACCACTCTCTGAGTAATCAAGAAGATTCCACTAAATTTGAAATCGCGAGGGTAGACATGTAAGAAAATTTATAGTTGAGGAGGTGGTTGTAATTACCCAAACGTGAGGGGTTTTTCGTAATTTGACCATACCTGAGGGAGTGGTTGTAATTTACCCTTATTTTTATACAATTATGTACAAAATAAATGTAATTATAAACAATCAATTTGCAATTGATCGTTAAATCATGTAAATAATAAGAGAAACAGTAATTTTCTTTTAAATTCGTTATTCAAACATGTTTCTAACTTTTTACAAATTGCAAAATGGCCTTATAAGGTGTCTGGCAGATGTCTTCAAGTTTCCGACACGAAACGTTTACGAAACACGGAAACATTAATAAGTTTGAAGTTTCTGTGATACATAGCGCTTGTCAATGATGTTCTACTCTTTTTTTTTTTAATTATTATTATTATTATTATTATTATTATTGGAAGGATTTAACGAAAAATATTTTCTATCGGAAAATTTATAAAGAATAAAATAATTCCAAGTATGTTCCATATCATTTTGAAAAATAAATAATAAAATTGAAATTGTAATTTAAAAAAAAAAAAGGATTTTCATGAATTAATATAGCAAAGTGAATTTAGCACGTTTTATTTGATTGGTGGGTCCCGCAAATGAGTCGACGGCGAAGCTTCTTTCCTAAGACTCTGTGGCTTAATCCTCAGCTATTCCGTGTTCTTCTTCTTCTTCACCTTTCTCACTCTACAATGCTTTCTCACTCTAAACTAATGTTCAAACTATGTATATATATATATATATATATATATATATATATATATATATATATATATATACACTCTTCTTTTCATTCTTCCGTCGGTCAACTGTGTAACCAACATTAGTCAACGTAACTATACATAAGTCAACCTCAAATAATAACTGATCATCATTTGCATATTCATGGAATATTCTCCGGTGCATTCAAATTGCTCCGACGAGGAGGAGGTGCTCAACCTGGCCGCCGCCAACCCCAAGAAACGCGCCGGGAGGAAGAAGTTCAAGGAGACGCGCCACCCTGTCTACCGCGGCGTGCGGAGGAGGAACTCCGACAAGTGGGTCTGCGAGCTTCGCGAGCCCACCGCTCAGAAGAGGGTTTGGCTGGGTACTTACCCCACCCCGGAAATGGCGGCGCGTGCCCACGACGTGGCGGCGCTTGCCCTCAGGGGGAAGGCGGCGTGCTTGAACTTCGCCGACTCCGTGTGGCGGCTGCCCGTCCCGGCGTCGAAGGACGCCAGGGATCTCAGGAAGGCGGCGGTGGAGGCGGCGGAGGCGTTTCGGCCGCCGGAGAGTGGAGAGGAGTTTTGTTCGGAGCAGCGGCGGAGTGAAGAAGTGGCGGCGGATAGCACTAATGGAGGAGGAAATGTGGCGGGGGGAGTTTCAGACCTATACGATGTCGTTTTGGAGGATTTGGACATGGAGAGATTGGCGGAGGGGGTTCTGCTGTCGCCGCCGCCGTGCTTGGGGTGGAGATTCAGTTGGGATGACGTGGAAAGTGATGCTGACATGGAATTGTGGAGTTTCTGAATTTGTTGGTGCGCGAAAAAAGCATATAAAAGCTGTGATGTAATAGCTTTTTATGGTTTGTGAGCAAGGAAAAAAAGTCAACTTAGTCAATAGTTCGAGGGTGTCCATTTGCCTTGTCACAACAGCCAAGGCTACTTACAATTCCGCAAAAAATTGGTTGAACGTATAACGGCTGCAAAAAATATGGTAATATGCGGCAAACAGACAACTCCTAATAAATTCAAACAGACGATGAATGTAATGCTCCATTATTAGTCAACATAGAATAAAATTATAGGAGTTTGTAGCACGTTTGGTAGGCAAGATTCACATTTTTTTTTAATTCGCGACTAAAATGAAGTGCATTATTAAATCGCAATATTTCATTAAATAGTAGTATGAGTATCTCCTCCTGAGATTTTTTTAATACGAAGGACTAAACAAGTAAAAGAACTATTTTATTTTCAAACTACATGTTAATTTTATTAAATAAAATATTTTATAAGCATATCACACATATATTTCAGAAGAATAGATTTAATACAAAATCGGATTCAAAGAACCGAACGTCTCACTAACTAAATAATTGTCGTTTAAGATTAATGCACGTCAATTAAGAAAGTCGTTGATACGGGCCATTTCAACCGAAGTGGGTAAATACGAGCTGGAGAAAAACTAGACATCACATGAGAAATGATGCTAAACAATAGAGTGGCATGACGAGCCATGCTTCGAGATACAATTATCCGGAGTGGGTAATTGGGCAAGATGAAATGGGCTTAAGTTGAAAACAGAGTAAATCCTGAACAGGCCCAAGAAACAAAACTTGGGAAGGAAAAACCCTAAAAAAGGAAACCTAGAAGGCCAAGTAAAATCACCTATAAAAAAGGGATTCTAGAAATCCAAGCATATATGTTATCGCACACTTTCTCACATAAAACACTGATCATTACTTTAGAAACACAATTGACTTGATCGTTGGAGTTTTCCCGCCGGGATCACCTCCCGGCGTTGCAGGTAGACATGGCCACGGGGCGGGTCGGGTCCGGGTCCGGGTCCGACTTTTAGGGGACCCGAAACCGACCCGCGGGGAGCCGGGTCCGGGTCCGGGGCGGGTCCACCCGGGTCCATCCGGGTCCGGGCCGAGTCCGGGTCGGGTCCGGGTCCAACCCGGTTTTTCAATTTTTTTTATTTTTTAGTTTTTTAAACAAAAAAAACCTATATTGAAACTTGAAAAAACATCAGATTAACTTTAAATTCAAAATTAAAACAATAATTGAATTTAAACATTACACAATTTTAGAAAAAAATGAAACGATTAACACCTTGAGACATAAACTAAATAAAATGAAAGTCGTGAAGATTGGATTATGGGTATTTATTAGTGAAAATAATAATTGAGAAATTTTTCAAAATTTCAAAATTCAAAAAAAATCAATATTCAATCTTTCTTTTAAATTAAATCGTATTTTTTTTATATTTTTCAAAATTAAATATATATGCATTTGTTATTAGTCGGGATTTTTGATATTAATAATAGTCAACATGACAATTAATAATTTATAAAACATTAGTTATACAATTATTATAATCATTTGATAGTGTTATTTATATTTTTATATTTATAGTTAAGATTATTATAACAAGGAATATATATATAACATAAAGAAAAGGTGTAAAATGATTATAATAAATAATGTTAAATAGATTAGTAATTGTCATATTCATTATTATTAAATAGTTTAATTAAATTATTAACAAATATAATATAAAAAAATGAATGGACTTGAGCTTAATCCATTAAAATCTTACGATTCGATTCTAATATTTGAATAAAATATAAATGTAAAAAAAAAAAAGATTAAATCATAAGATATACGATTTAATTCTTACGATTTTTATAAACTAAACCAATTATTAAAAGAGAAATCACATCATAATATTTTGATTATACTCGTCATATATAGTTTTATTTTTAAAGTAAGAAATTAATTGGAATGAGATATAATCTATTTTTGTTAAAATAAACATCATCTATATTTTTAATTAATTATCTTATGATAAAATAATCAATAATTTTAATAAGTTCTTGTCAACAATTGAGATTAATCGATTTAAATTAATTGAAATGAGTTATATTCATTTTTTTTAAAATAAACATCTTATTTTATTTTTCATTCGCATTTTTCACACTATCGATTTTAATAACATAAGTGAGTTTGTATTAATCAACGCATTTGTTTATATATTAAATTGATTCAATATTTTATATATTTCAATAGTGGAGATTATATTGATATAATAATTAATAATAAATGTTTTGAAGTATTGAATCGTAATTCTATATATTTTTTTAAAAGTTTCTTACATTGCATTTGTTAATAAGTTAATTAAAATTATTTAATAACAATTAATATGAAAATTAATAATTTTTTTACATATTTATCATTTTACACCAGCGTGTTTATATTATATATATTTCTTGTCTACATTTGAGCAAAACTGTTGTTTGGCCAAGTGGTAAGTATTGCTCATTCTTCCCCCATCTTCCCGAGTTCGAAACCCCCAAGGTGCATTTTTTGTACAAAAAATCCGGTTTAATACCCGGTTCCCGGGTCGGGTCCTCGGGCCGGGTCCGACGGGTCTCGGGTCCTGATATTTGGGACCCAAAACTGACCCGTGCTTGGCCGGGTCCATGGTCAACGGGCCGGGGCGGGGCCGGCCGGTCTTCGGGTCGGGTCCGGGTCAAACCCGGCCCGTGGCCGTGTCTAGTTGCAGGTACTTCATTCCCTGAAGATTCTCCTCCCCGAGAAAGAAGCCCATCATCCGTCTTGCGAAGAAGGAAGAATCCCATCAGACTAAATCGGTCATTATCAAATAACCTTGTTTTTTGAAGAAATAATTTTTGTTTGACAAAACTACCCCTTTATTTTTTAATTTCTCTTTATTGTTTCGTTAATCTGTCATTAATGATGGAATAAAATTGGAATTCTTTTTGTTATCAATTTAAAATTTAAAATGAACACTTCATTTAGGGAAAAAAAGATATTTCGGAAAACAAAGGACAGTTCAAAAGAAACGGGGTTACATTTTTTATCGAAACAACGAATAAATATGTGATCGGGCTTTAGTTCGGCACACATAGGCCCAACTCCTTAAGATTGTATTTAGATTCAAAATTTAGATTATAGTGTAAATTTACTTTATTAATCTTGAACGCTTAATCATTAAAGAAAAACACAGTTGCGTTGTTGATGACAATATATATGAATAAAATTTGGTCATATTTGAAAGAAATGGTATTAAACGGAACGGCTAAAGGGATGCATTGGCTCGCTTGGAAGGAACTGTGCAAATCTAAAGAGAAAGGAGGGATGGGCTTTCGGGACCTTAGATCATTTAATTTGGCGTTAGTGACCAAGCAAGCGTGGAGAATTCTTTCAAATCCGAATCTCTTATTATCAAAGATTATGGCAGCCCGCTATTTTCCACATGGGAATTTCCGAGATGCAGGTATAGGCTACCGACCTTCGACGACGTGGCGGAGCATTTGGCAGACTCTTCATTTTTTAAAGATGGGCCTTAGGAGACGGATCGGAAATGGGAACGACACTTCTGTTTGGGCAGATCCATGGCTTCGAGATGGAGAGAACTTTCGAATAATTACCAAGAGACCTGTATACACGGCTTTTCCAAATAAAGTGGCAGATCTAATAAACAATTCGACAAATCAGTGGCACTTAGAGACTATACAAGAATGTTTTAGGCCGGTGGATGTTGGTCGTATTTTAGAAATTCCGGTGGGCAGCAGCTTGGCCAGAGACACGTGGGCCTGGAACCCCTCGAATAATGGTAAGTTCACGGTGCGCTCTTGTTACCACATGATTCTTGCGTCTACTCAATCCTCAGATAAACGAAGTAGCGGGGGAAACGGTTCAAACAGTGGTGTTGACTCTTGTAAGTGGAATATTATCTGGAATCTTGAGATACCACCCAAGGTTAAGGTCTTTTTGTGGAGACTGTGCAGCAATATATTGTCTACGAATAAAAGTCTTTGTGGTAGAAAGGTTATTCTCTCACCTTTTTGTGGGCGGTGTCAACGGGACGAAGAAACGGCTTTGCACGCAATCATTAATTGCGGTGGAATGGATGACTGTTGGAGGTCTCTCTTACCTGAATATTATCACCATTTCGATCACACCTCTGCATGGAACTGGTTGACGGGTTTAAAAGAGAATACGGACACATATCAGTTTCTCGTTGCAATGATTTTAGCATTGAAGGGATAAACGAAACAAGGAACATAAAGGGCAAGCGAGCTTAACCCCTCCTGACTTGGTAGAATGGTGCAAAAACTACCTGGCCATATTTCGTTCGGCTCAAATTCACAAGATCTCTCCACAACGGTATGTCCACACGAGCACGTGGCATCCTCCGCCAGTTGGTGCTGTTAAAATCAATATGGACGCTGCAGTTTCTTTGGGGAATCTTTTCTTTTCCGTCGGATGGTAGCGAGGAATGATGAGGGTCAATGCATTTGGTGGAGAGTGATTAAGTTACCCGGCAACTTACATCCTGCAGAATGTGAAGCGACGGCAGCGCTCAAGGCGCTACTCTTGGCGCGAGAAAAAGGGTGGACAAATGTGGTGGTTGAGGGTGACAATCTCCAAGTTATCACAGCTTTGCAACATGGCGAAAGCGATTTGTCGTCCTTTGGTTTATTGATAGATGAGTGTTTGCGCCTTTCTCTAGATATAGAAGATTGTTCTTTTAATTTCGTCAAGCGTACGGGGAATTTGTTAGCCCACGATATTGCTCACTTTGATTGCAACTTTCTATCGGAGCGATTAGTTTTACCCTCGATCTTGGCTGGTTAGCCGTAATACTAAACCTTTTCTCAAAAAAAAAAAAAAAAAACTATGATAATGTTTAATTGGGTCAATCCAACGGGCCTGCAATTTATTTATTTAATGGACCATGAGCCTAATATTGAAGACTACTGTTACTGAGGACCAATCACATTTAAGTAAGGTTTGGGTCCGACAATTTCAACTAAGGTATAAATAAATGTTTTAACTTATTCCTTAAGGTATGTTCCTATTATCTGAGCAATACTATAACATTTATTATCTGGACTAGTTCTACTATCCGCACGTCTGACTTGAGCGTTGGAGGGGTTTCCGCTGGATCAACCCCCGGCTTAGTTTATGTGTTCTATGATTGCAGGTATCCCAAGGTCATCAAGCTGATTCATTTTGCTCTTCTATCGCATCCTACATCAACTCTTTAAAGTGATATCTAACTCTACCATCATCAAACTATTTGCTATGCAGCACGAATATTGTGGTAGATGTTCGAAAAATGGGATCGGAATCTTAGGGAAAACGTGTAAATATTAAAAGTATATATATATATATATATATATATATATATATATATATATATATATATATATATATATATATATATATATATATATATATATATATATTTAATTTCTAATATTTTGAAAATATGCTATTCAAATATATTTAATTTCTAATTTTTCAGAAACTGCAGAATGACAAATAAGTTGTCCGATAGGTGTACTCTAGTGCTGAACAGGTTCCATATTCGAAACGCGAAAACGTTTGAAGTTGAAGTTGAAGTTTTCGTCCCAGATATGTTCTATTTCCAATAGTGACCTAATTTGTTGAAAAGACAAAATGAAATACAATCTTGGAAGATGCTAAGAAGTTTCGAAAGAAAAGAAAATATATATTGCCATGTCAGACGCTGTGTATGAGTGAGATTCAGACCAAAATTATTAAACAAATGATTAAAATATTCAGAAATAATAGGGCAAGAAGGTCAATTTCTGGTCACTGCTCAGTCTTAACAGCTGAGATTTGCGCCTAAACCACACACCACACGTACTATTCCCATTATTAATTATTTAATTACTAATCAAACCATATTTAAATTAAACTAATCTCAAAACTCTGAAAACAACAGCACAGAAAACCCTAACCCAGACAAAAAACTTCAACTTAAACCCCCTTTGTTTATTCTAACTTAAGATTCAAATTACACCACCAAGAACCATCCATCCATCTCTCTCTCTCTCTCTCTCTCTCTCTCTCTCTCTCTCTCTCTCTCTCTCTCTCTCTCTCTCTCGTTAATATTTACCTAGAGATCTTCAACCATAATAAGAAGCTGCCACTCACTTTCACTCTTTAATTTCTCCACACTTTAAAACAGGCCCTCTTTCTCACTCTTCAATTCTCTCACTCTCTCTCTCTAGACTCTCTCTCTCTCTAGATAATAAGTGTAGAAGCTGGCTCCACCATACTGCTTACTTTCTCTGCTCACAACTTCTTGCCATAGATAGCTATTAACAGATGTCAAACATTCATTTCGATATTTCATAGCTCAATTTCGATATTAATCATCACCTTTTTTTTCAATAAATACAATTCTGAAAAATCTCGCCAGCTTTTTCGATCATTTTCTCTCTCCTCTGCATTTCTTTCATTCTGCTTCATTCTAAATAGAAATACTACTCAAACCCTAAATTATATATTGAAAACCCTAGTAAAATTATTATTACAACAACATGGATTCAAGATTGGCTAGAACAACAATGCCGAAGCAACTGCTGCTCAAAGACTACTTGTTGGACGACGTCGGATCGTGTTCATCCAACGGCTTCAAATCGTTCCCCAGGCGGCAGTACTGCTGCACAGCCGCCGTCCGATTGATCCACGACAAGCACCACCACAAGAAGAAATACCTTATTTCCAACAACAAGCCATCCTCGTCGAAACCCTCGGCTTTCCTTCAGCGCGTCGTCGCCGCCGTGAAACGCCGCCCCATCGCCGCCGCAAAGTCGCCGGAGAAGAAAATTTCCGGCGGCTACTCGTTCCTGCCGCGGAGTTTCTCCAAGAGAAGTGGATTAATATTCTGGAGGAGGAAGCCGTCGTCGGATGATCACGATCGGAAAGAGATCAGACGGTGGAAATCGTTTGATCAGCTTCTTAAGGAGGATGCTCAGCCGTCGGATCGGTCCTCCGACAGGTGGTCGGGGGGCGATTTAACTGTGTCGGAAAAGTGCTCAGGCGGTGATTCTTATGCGGAGGTAAATTTAAATTCAATCCAGAAAAGAAACGACGTCGTAAAGATGGTTACAGATAATGGAGTTGGTGTACTAAACGGTGACGTTTCAATGGACTCAACTACCAGTAGTGCTGATACCAATTCATCCACCACCACACAGGTAATTATTTTAATTTTTTTTAAATATTTTTTTTATTTTTTTATTTAGTGCTAATTGAATTTAATACTCCCTCTATTTCTAAATAATTATCACTTTTCACTTTTAACAAATATTAAGAAACTCAATAAATATATCTTGATTTTAGAAAAATCATATAAAAATGACTAAATTTTTTTTTATTATTTAATGATTTATTAGAGAAAATTAATAATTAGATTTTCATTAATAAGGTTAAAACAGGAAATATACATTTATTGCAATATTGAAAATCTAAAGTGACAGATAATATGAAACAAAAATATTTTAAAAAAGAGACAGTTATTGTGAAATACGGAGTATTTGATTATGTTTATTAGTATATTTTTACCGTTAATTAGATGGTAATTTTTTTTTGAAAGTTGTGAAAATAATTGTGTATAAGAAAGTTGTCCTTTTTGTGTTTGAATTTGAAAAAACATTAAAAAAATATTTGAAAAATAATTAAAAGAATAATTAGAAATTTCGATAATGGTGAAAAATTCAGAGCGGTAAAGATGGAGCGAAAACAGCTGGGGAGCTACACGTGCGGGGTTATATAGAGGGAAAAGATAGCATACAGTCGAGTGCATGATAAGAAAAAAGAAAAAAAAAACATAAAAATAATTAACTATTCAAGTAAATTGGCAACATATTGTATGATCATAATTTAATAATAAACAACTAAGGAAGATAACTATTTTGATTTAATTTTTAAAGTAATTTAATTTTTATTTGTCTATTTAGGAAAAAAAAAACAATTCCAATATTATTAATTTTGATGCATCATTTATCATTTACTATATAGAGAGAGAATAATAGGCTTTAAAGGGAGGAGTAGTATTTTTTTTTAATTTTAATTAATTAATATTGAGATTATCTTGTATAAAGAGTAATTTTGGGTATTTTTTTATCAAAATAATGTTTTTTTAATATTTTTTTTTAAATCTAGTAGCTAAACCTAATGCTAAACCAAACATAGCTAGTAATTTAATAATTGCCTACTATTAAAGAATTTGGTAGAAAATTTAAGTGAGACTTGATAATCATTGTTAGAATGGAGTTGACTAATGTCATACACTTTTGGGTTGACTTTTGACATATTCAATATATCAACATTAGTTTTTCCTTGTCATCTTTAATTTGCTTTCATTTTTTTTTTTTATAATGGATTGTGTGCAATATAAATTTTATATATTTTTAAGCATTATTGGATTTGATCTGTTATAATTATCCATACTTGTTTGTCAAAATTAGTATTTCATGTTCGCGAGTGACGAAGCCAGTATAGGGTGTCGCAGTCACACATCCAATAATTTTATAATTTATATTATTAATAAAATAAAATTAAATTAAAATCGACCCTTAGAAGTTTTTAGTATATATATTAAATAAAAATATATATATCCACAAAATTATCAAATTGGGTCCAAGAATTCAATGGCTAAATTGGATAACATCGTAATAAATAATAATGGTTGTACAAGGAGGCCCCTGCATGTTATTTTTTCTTTTTTCTTATTTTTTTTTATTATACAAAAAAAAAAAATTTATTTTTTTATTTTTTTTTCTGGCTTAAAAGATTCCCTCTGCATGAATTATGTCGATGTGGGACTAACCAATCAGTTTTTGATGAGCTTTTTCATTTATGAGAATTTATTGTGAAATGCAACAAAACTTTGTAGGGGGCCGGGGCCGATTCAACTCCCTCATTAATGTTTGTTCTTCAAGTTGTTGTGAAATATTACAATTAAATCATTTTTATTGCACACCTATGTCTTAAATCAGTTGTTTAATGTTTATTTGTTTGCCTTGTAATGAAGGAATTGTGACCTTTATAAAGTGATATTCCAAACCCTAGAATATATTTTAAAATATTTTTAAGAAAATTAAAACAAAAAAAAAATAGTTTTTGACATGTTTAATTAGTTAGTTTTTGACATATTTAATCTAAATATTTGATGGATAAATTGACAGCAGAAGCAATGGTCAAGTGATGAGAAGGAACAATTGAGTCCGGTGTCGGTGCTCGATTGTCCGTTCGATGACGAGGATGAAGTCTCCTCCTCCTCTTTCCAACATAGACTCGCTCGTATCGAAGGTAATTTTCTTACATTACCGCATGTCTCAATAATTATATATAGCGGCCGAATTAAAATTGTGTCACATTAATCTAATTGAATCTCATTATTTTCCTTTGTAACAAAATTTGAAATCTCTTTCGAAAGATAAAAAAAAAGTAACTAGGTATATGGTCGATTTATTATGACTCGTTATTTTTCATATGTAACACAATTTGGATTGTCTTATACATACTATGTTTAGAAAAATGCTCTAATTGTTAAAAAAATCTCCGTATTATAAATATTAGCAAAACTCTCCTATGGTTCAATTTTATTAGCAAACTACACCCCTTAAAACACATTATTTAAGGGTTTGTGTGTTAAGAAAATGCATCATAGGGATTTTTTTCGCTAATATTAATTACGAAGCGAGGAGTTTTAGCAATTCAATATAACATAGGGGTGCTGAATGCAATAAAATCTTTTATTTATGTAATAATAAAAAAACAATGCATTTTTTCTTGAACAGGAGTTAAGAAAACACTTATGAAAAAGATCCAAAGGTTCGAATGCCTAGCCAAACTCGAGCCTGTTGACTTAGCCACGCGCTTCGCACTACAATCGGACTCGGACAATGAATCCACATCATCATTTACTACGGAGGACAAATCCATGTCCGATATCGAAGAACAAGAAGAAGAAAAAGACGAAAACGAGGCCGAATACAAAGCCCTGAAATTGCTTCACCAAATGCCACCTAATTATGACAACCTCAAACTTATAAATAATGCAGAGAAATTGCTTTTGGATTTCTTTAGAGAGAGAATTGGGAGTGGTCAATGTACTTCATTGGAGGAAGAGCTACTTGAGGAAGCACAAAATTGGACCAATGATAAGATGCCACGTGGAGTGTTTCTTGAATGGGGGGTGCAGAAGAATAGACAAGCTTATATTGAAGACATGGAAAAATGTGGGGAATGGAAAACGTTGGATCAAGAAAATGGTGACGTGGCTTTAGAGTTGGATGATGAGGTTTTTGATGCACTTTTGAATGAGGTTTTGTTAGAATTTGAGGGGGGATTTGTGGTAGTATGAGGATTACTTTGAGGTTGTTTTGGTCATTTTATCATGCTTTCAGAAAATGGTTAGGATGGTTAAGATTGATTAGGAGGGTATATGAGTCGAGTCGGCTCAGCAGACTTGTGAGCTGACTCGACAAAAGCTCGAGCTCGAATAAATAGTTCTCTTAATTTGGGATCTCGCCTTGAGATTACTATTTTCTTTTCTTTTGGAGAATGAATTAGTTGTTTCCCCTCGATTAATCTCATATTTTAACTAATTTTTTACTTCCAGTTTATATATAGAACATACACGAATACGCGGATACAACGGTGCGTGTACATGGATATGAGAAACAACATTTAGAAAAAATAGAATATGTAATATGTGTAATCTTATTAGAAATATATGGGTATGTTTATAAATTATATAACAAATATATCTCTATTTATTTATAAATTATATATTTTTTCATCCACATTGATCCACCCGAAAGAACCTCATCCTGTATACGGGCCTCTGTAGAGGGATGGCAAATAACTACAAAAAGAAAAGACCAGACTGATGCCGAATTTAGCACTCCAACGATCAAGTCAGTAAAGGACCGATAGGATTTTTGGAGAGGTATATCTATTAATTTACGAAGATAAGTAAGAGTGTTAAGTGTGTATGTGCTCCCTCTTTGGTTTGATGATCAGTGCCTTCTTTTATAGTGGTTGGGGGTATGCTTCTCTCTACCCCGCGAATCCCGGCCGAGCAGTCCATTCTTCTGCTCATCGGCGCCTCTGGTCAGTCCTTTCCCGGGTAGCTTGGATCATGATTACCTTTCTTGTAATTAGAACCTCCCCTCTCCATTGATTGGATAAGGTAAGGTCTCATTTCTACTTCCTCAGCCTTCTGGCCGTATCTGGTCATTGGAGCATTAAATGCCCCTGTCACAGCATTTAATGCGCCGTTGCGGGCGTCATGGGTGTTTTGTCGGACGCATTAAAGTCGAACCTACCCCGACCTCGAGGTCTATAGCTGAACTTCCCTAGATATAGCCCAAGCGTCATTCCAACACTCGGAGAGCCTTCGCGCGACTCACAATAGCTGGGATCCTGAGCCATCGAGGGAAAAGCTTCCCTCTCCACTCACCTCCTCGAGCTTGATGTCGTGTTGGGCCTCTAAGGGGCTCCTCTGAATGGGCTGGCCTGGTATTGGGCTGTTTGGACCATATATTAGTCCGAATCACACATATATTCGTATAAATTATATAATTTGAAGATTTACCATCAAGATAAGTTTTCTAACTTTTTAAAATATACAACATAATAAGATTTTGGACTAATTTCTGATTTTTTTTTAAATTTAATTTATTGGAATTGGAATAAATATGATATCCGATGATCGATATGATACTAATTTCCAAAAATAATTCGCAAAATTCAGATTTTGTTTTCGAAAATTACACATAAAATATAAATTTTATTTTGTATTTTAGGTGACTATAAAAAATTAGAATTTTCTGAAATCTGCAGATGTCGTCCGAAAAAATTTAGATATTTGAATAAGTTTTTTTCATTTCAATTTCCGAAATTTCGATTTTTGGGGAACGTCATTCGGAGTAAGTTTATCCCTTAAAAAAATCATAATTATTCCGAAATTTCTAAATCCGATCAGATCCGTCCAATTTTCACCCCTATAAAAGAATGAATGCATACATAAAATAAATACAAGAGTAAAAACTGCAATCAGAACTGTAGCCCAACTATGCCCAGCAGCCCATCATCAATACGGGCCCATTGAAAGCACGTGCGGGCCCGTCTGAGATTTTATCCACCGTGAGAAAAAGAAAAACACAAATTTTAAGTTCCCGACGCTGAAACGGCATCGTTTCGATTAAACAAAAGGCACAATCAACGGCTATTATACACCGCTCCCTCCCAGTAACTAAAATATTTAAATAACAATAAAATAACAAAAAGGTTAAAAAGATAATTTAAACATAAAAAAACAGAGAAAAAAGGCAACATATTTTTCCTTCTTCCGCTTCTTTTACAGTCCTTTTAAAACCCTAATAATGGCGTAAAATCCTCAAAATTCAGAAGCCACTCTTCCCAAATAAGCAATCATGAGAGGAACGAAGCGCTCGGCAATCTCCGATTCAACTCCTATCTTCAATAATTCCAACGATTCCTTTGTAAGTGTGCTTTGTCCCTCTGTGTGTGTGTGTGTGTTTTTCCCTTTTTAATGCAGTTGAACTTTGATTTTAATGTGTGAGATTGGGGGTTTTGATCCGGTGCAGATGCAGAGCAAGAGAGTAACAATGGGATCGCCGTTCGATCCACAAAAGGCAGAGCCGTCAATTAGGCAGCCGCCATTGGATACACAGAGAGCTGAATCGTCGAAACAGCATGTGAGAGCTCTCAATACCCAATTTGCAAGGTTGTCGCCGATGTTACTTAATTTTTAAGCTTCTTCGAACTTTTAATTTTAGTTAATTCGTGCTGCCTCTGTAACTGTTTCTGTTAGTTGTGAATGTTAGTTTCTATGAAGTTGTAATTTTGAAGTCGGAAGTAAATTCGCAGGCTTTGAGTCCGATCGGCGTTTTTGTGCGGTGGTTTAGTTTGTAGGAAATTGTTTTTGCTTGGGTGGGAGTGGAAATTTTGAAGGTTATTGTACTAGATTGAACTAACTTAGTATCTCGACATTGTTATGAATAATTGACGAATCATTCGTAAGTTTACCATGGTCGTGTTTTAAGCTCAATCATGAACTTGGTCATCTCTTCTCCGTTTTCTTGCTATGTATGAATTTGGGAAAAAGTAGTGGATAAATGTAAGATGAATGATCTGTTTTTCGTCTGTAAAGTAATTTAGAATGTGTGCGCTGACATTAGTGAATTTTAAATTAAATTGATCAGTTGGGTACAAGCTCAACTACAAAACCACCCTGACGAGCTTTGGGAAGATGGAGTACAGGACTACTTAAATCATGCTACAAGCATCATGGTAAATTGTCAGCTATATCTATGTCCTTTTTTACATTAATACACGGAGCATTATATTTTTTTTTCCTGACAACAAAGATGTGATTTTTGGGTGCTGAATATTGATATATAAGATAAGTTTCTCGTAAACTGTATTTTTATTTTTGTGACTTCAATTGCAGGTGAAATTTAGTGACGTTGTTAACTGGTTGAAAGCTACTGCTGCAAAAGGAGGGAGTCTAGGCGAGCTCCGATCTGATGATGCTCAAACAAAACCTGCATCGGAAATTGCGAAGAACAGTTTTAAGTTGTTTATGGACAAACCTGCGATTCCGACGGGAACAACTACAAGTTTTCCTCCAGCAACAACTACAAGTTTTACTACAGCAACAACATCAAGTTTTACTACAGCAACAACATCAAGTTTTCCTACAGCCACAGCAGCAAACGTTCCTGCTGCAACAACACCAAGCTTTGGAACATCGTGGAAACCTGGAGGTCTCTTTAACAATAATACTCCTTTCACATTTGGAGGTATTCTTCTTGGTCATATGTTATGAAATTCTACTGCTACAGTTGCTTTATAGTTCATTCTCTGTATGTGACTCTCTCAATTGAATTCTACAGTGATTCTTTTATCTCTGTTCTCGTTGATTATGCCTACGTAATAATTTAGTTGCATAATTGCATATGCATGTGCATTGTTATATCCCTCAAAACTCCTGAAACGTAACTTTTTTTTAACTTTCAAGTTATAGATTTTTGAAATCTTTGTTGAATGAGGTTCTTTATCATATTATGCAAGTTGTAGCATGTCCCATGTGCTAGTAATGGTATGTTGAGGAATCGAATTTATATGACAAGATTGGAGAGTATCCGAAGGTAAAGCAAATTACTAGTAGACCTGTTTTTTTTCTCCGAAAAACGTAGGCATTTGTTGAGTATATGTTTTTGTACCTCAATCTCCACGGAAGTATGGTACTGACCTTGCCTTGTGTTATGCCGACGTAACAGTGATTAATTCATGGGCTCGTTTGACATCTGAAATCTCAGACTCAAATTTCGTACACATTCTCATGAAGCACCTATCTGGAGGCCAATGTGGTTAAACTGATCATTTAAAACTAAATATAACTCGGGTGGTGTATTTATATATTAATGTATCACATTTAATTAAGAAAGAATTATGAAGTCTCATTTATGTGTTTGTTTAATAGATGAATGAATCTTTCATGTCCTATAAACATGTCAAACGGCTAACATTTTCGACTTCTTTTCTGTTATCTGGAAAAAAATAGTAATGAGCCAATTGAAAACCTGCTCCCGTAAAGACTAATCCTAATTGAAGCGTTTATATCCTTTTAGGAGGTTATCTTGTACTGGGATTATGTAACTGTTAGTTATTTGAGTACAAATCCCCTCCTAGTAAAATTATATGTAAAGACGCTTCCTCCTTAATTCTCTGCAATCTACTAACTCTCTTCTGTCTCTTTGAGTCCTTCAATTCTAGTATGATTGACTTTTCCTATAGATAACAGGCTTTCCTGCTGGTTTCTCACTGTTGATAAATGCAGCGATTTCAGTTTGTAGTATAGTTAAATTGTCATCTTGGCTTCTCTGTATCTTCATAGTTAAATTCTTCTCTTTGGTCCTTTCCTCCTTTAAATTGGATAGTTAGCGAATTCCTAAATGATTATCTCATTTAATTGTTTTGTTTTCCAGGAAGCCAGGTTTCAATTTTTGGAAATGCCAATGCAGTTCCGTCTAGCGATGGCGCTTCAAATGAGGCTGACGGGGGTAAGTGGTTGAAACGTTATTTATTTTGAAGTGATTGTCAATAGCTATCGTGGATTACACAGTTCCACTATGTCTTGATGAATCGTCTTATGCTGTAAGGTTTAGAATTTAGGGTTACTGGTGCCATTGCTGCATAAAAGGGCTTTGTAAACAATAGTCAAAGCTTTTCATGAGTAGAATCGTATCTTCTTATTTACCATGGACATGATAGCAATCACATTTTTGCTAATATATGTTGTAAGATGTATGATCAAATGTACATGAAATCGATATTTGATTGCGTAATGATAAACTTTGTTTCCCTATGTAATATCATGGAGTGCAGAAGATGATGTCGAACAGCCTAGCAGCCCATCCGTGAAAAAGAGTCAAGAGAAGGGAATTATTGTTGTGCACGAAGTAAAATGCAAGCTTTATGTAAAGGTAACTAATTGTACATTAAAAATGAAAAACTCAATTGTTCCGTAGCATTTGAAGCTTGTTTTTGCTTTGAGCTGATTTAAACGCTTCCCGTTTGACCAGTCAACTGATCCAACGGACAAAGATACTTGGAAAGATAAAGGCATGGGCCAACTTAGTATCAAATGCAACGAAGGCATCAGTAAGGGCACCAAAGAATCGAAACCAACCATTATTATACGTAACGATGTAAGTTCCATTCAATATTATTAATCCCTTAATTCATGTGATTATTTTTACGTGTTTTTCTGTTTTTTTATGCATTTTCTTCAAAATTGTTCCAGGTCGGAAAAGTGCTACTCAATGCACTGTTATACCCCGGCATCAAAACAAACATGCAAAAGAACTCTGTAGTGACAATATTTCATACCTCGGTAATGCATTATTACAACTACGTTTTCACCCCCCACCCCCCTTTCTTTTTTTTTTTTTCTGATGGTTGATTTCGTATTTTGTCGTTTTGAAGGCTGATGGTGAGAGCAACGACAAGGTTGTTGCTCGGACTTTTTTGATGAAAACAAAGAACGAAGAGGACCGGAATAAACTAGCAGCTTCTATTAAGGAATATGCTCCTGCAGTTTGAGATTTTGTAGGTTAAACCATTTTGTGTTGTACTTCTAGCTGGAGAGCGACATACTTGCATTTGCATTATCGGGATTTTCGCAGGCTTGTAATTTTTGAAGATTTTCGAAGGGGGCTTAAAAGGGAAGTTTGGTAAGATGTATAATTATAAATACAACTTCATATAAATTTTAGGGAAAGCAAGATATATGCTGTGCAGAAAAAAACATTTTCGAATGCTCTTTCAAATAACTTTTATTTTTTGTTTTTTTCGCTTTTTTTCGTTTTTTTTTTATTAGCTTCTTTTCTCATATGAAGAGAGATCAATTCTTGCTAGTCTAATGACACTAGGAAAATGGGGAAAAGGGCTGTCCATTTCTGAAAAACTGTATCGAATCGAATTATATTGTTCGATTTGATAATTATTGAATTACTAGAAAATCAATTATAATTCAATATTTATTTTTATAAGTTCTAATATGTGAAAATAAATTAATATAAATACCTACGTTCCAAAAAAAGAATATACTTACAGAGTAATACATAAAATTTATATTTTGTTGCTAAGATTTTAGATAGGAATACCAAATCGAATTACGAGTTTGGTATATGTCAAATTTTCGATTCGACGTGATTCAGTGGATCTACAAGACGAACATCCTATGGATGATGATGGCATCTTAAAATTTTGTTGAAAGTATTTGCTAATAATTATTAATTACAGAAAGGTTATCTACAAGTTTTAGGTTGAGAGAATATTAGAAAGAGATCAGACTATCCCAATAGCATTATTAAAAAAATTAATTACAATAAAATGGTTTGTTGGTTAACAAAAATGTAGTCTGTTACAAATAATATATAGAAAGTAACAGTAAGCATCGGCGTTTGTAGTCCAACGGTTAGGATAATTGCCTTCCAAGCAATAGACCCGGGTTCGACTCCCGGCAGACGCATATTACTGGTAAACATTTATTTTTGTTTATTTATTATATTACTTTTATTTTAAAGGAGCCTATTTATTATATTACTTTTATTTTAAAGGGGCTCTTTGAGAAAACCCCCTCACTATTTTTTTTAATGGAGGTAGGCCCAAAATATTTTAGTCAATTTGAGAAAAAGTCCACACCCATTTTCAGCCATTATGCTTTTTTGCTCCCGCCCGCCATATCATCACTGGGTCACGCGCTCAGCGTTTTTTTTTTTTTTGTTTTCCGTTTTTTTCCGTCATTTCTGTATCAGTTTCCCTAATCGACTATGAAGCATAGTCGATTAGCCTTAATCGACTATGCTTCATAGTCGATTAAGGAAATTATTTAATTTTTAAATTTTTTTTTATATCAGGTATATTAATCGACTATGATGTGAAGAATAGTCGATTAAGAATCTGCTACTAAAAATAACAAATCATAATTGCGAAAAAAATACAAAATTAACTATATATTACAAAAACAAAAAATATACAAATATTATAAATGATTTATACAATTGAAAGCAATAAACAAAAAATCCAAAAAAAAAAAAAAAAAATTGGAGTCGATGAACCTTAATCGACTACCAGAGCATAGTCGATTAGCTTAATCAACTATGAACATGTACATAGTCGATTAAGGTTTCAGCCTGCGCGAAATTCTCTACACGCGCCTTCATCCGTTCAATCCACCAAAAAACCCTAAATCCGCTTCCCCATCGTCACCACACCCCCGTCACAACACACCATCATCACCTTACTTTGATATTATGATGTTTTTTTTATTACAAATAAATAAATAAAATCACAACTCGCACCACCAACCAAACCAGAACCACCACCCATCAAAATCCGATTTCGGTGACAAATCGACAATTTATGGCTTTTGTTAAGATCTGCAGACGACGACCCCGACCCCGACTTCGACGGCGACGGCGACGACGACGGAGACGGCACCGTCGACAATGGCTTCAACGGAATTAGCATCTTTGTTCTGGTTGGTTCTTCATCTTCCGATCAAGAGAGAATAAACTAAAGAATTGAGAGAGAAAAGTATAATATGGAGAAAGAAAAAAGAGAATAGACGGGAGAAGAAGAGACGGGAGAGAAGAGAAAATAAGATTAGGATTTGAAAAAATATAATAAACAATTAAGGGTAGTTTTGGAATTATCAAAATATCAATTGTGTGGAATATTAACTAGGGGTTTTCTCTAATTATTTTTGGGAAGGAGTGTTTTTTTAACTTATTTACCTAGATGAGGGGTTCTTGCTAATTATCCCTATTTTAAAACCTACAATTGTTTTCCCCATAGAAAACTACACCTCATACAGAAAAAAAATAAAATAACATAAAATACAGAACTAAATGTAAGATCTACACTGTTTTTTAATTAAATAATTAAGCACTAAATTGCCTCCTTCGACATTGCAAAATGTCTCTAGTATACATCTCTCCTCTTAACACAACAAATGAAAAAACACACTCCTCTAATCAACAACTAAAACTACGGGTTTAGATTATCGAGAAACGGGGTTGTGTTCCTTTCGGTTATTTTCTTGGCTAACAGACGAGTGAAGATCTCAACGAAGAGGTTGCACTTGAAGGGATCTCCGTGCATGACGCCCACCGAATAACCGACGCACCATCAACGAGAACCACATGATCGAATTCCCCAATTCCGATCGTGTGGTTCCTCTTGCTTTGGGAACTTGTACCACCTTTCGAATCACTACTAGTCCATATTCCCGATCGCACTTCCGACTTCTGCTCAACTTCATCCCCCACTAAGATCAGCTTTCTGACACTCGTTTCTGCAAAAACCGGATAAAGTTTGAGTATATTACAATATATTCCCTTGAGATTAGTTAAAATTACATGTAAATACCCTCGTATTTCGAAAATGTTACATAAACCTTTCTCAAAGTTCAACTTTCACTAAAAATCCAACTTAAACCATTAGGTAATATTTTTATTCTCGTGAAAAATAACTTTTTTTAAAGAAAAGGAATCAACAAAATTATTAATTGTTAAACGTGTAGGAAAATAACTAACGATCGTCAATTTCTATCTAACCAACGATCAAATAAGATCAAACTTGAAGGGGGTCTCGACTAATTTTAGAAGGATGGTAGTGTTAAATACCTTAAAAAAATCAAATAATTCAGTAAGGGTAAAAGTGTCATTTACTAAATTGTAGTTAAATTTATAATCTTAATTGAACTTCAAGCGAGGTTAGTGTATTTTTTCCAAAACCGAGGGATCTAACCGTAATTACTAAACACAACGAGATTCTAACATAAAATCCGTTACCTCCATCAATCGACAGCATTTTGGTCTTGAAACATAATGCGTCGTCACTTTGTCGGAGCGTAGTGTTAGGACTGAAGAAGGTAAAACTGGGCATCGAAGGAATCGGAGAGGAATATTCCGTGGCGTTATTCGATTTACATCTGCTGCCATAATAACCAGCTGTGGGCCCTGCCGAGTGAGGTGTGTCCTGGTTCACTAGAGTCGAAAAAGATGATCTGCATGAAAACACGGGGGAATATTCTTCTTGCTCGTTATTTACGATTGATGGTGACTCGTCACGGAAACTCAAATCACGGTCCCTGTCGATTTTAAAATCGGAGAAAGAACAGCCACCGATATGTAGTTGTTGTTGACGGTTGAGATTATCTTGTATATGTGATTCTTGAGTACCGTGTGGAATATTCTTTGTCCACGAGTGAGCTGTAAATAAATATTGGAACCAATCAGTAACGAAGAATTTTCTAAAACGAATCGCATTTTTGTATTTTCGAATTTTTTTATTACGATTTGCAGTTCTATTCACCGATTTGTTTTGAGTTAAAAGTTTATTCGAGTCAAATCTTAAATAAATTACGATTTCCCGAATCACATCGATTTTATTACGACTTTATACGAATTCAGAACTTGTCTTATTTTTCATACTAATATTAATTTTGACATCTTTTTTTAATAAATAAAAGAATTATCAAAAAACATGAAAACAAGAAAAACTATTAACCCAATCAACTTAGTTTAGTAAGTTACGAACATTAGAGTTTTCTTTCTCATGCCACTATTGAAAAAAAAACGAGCATCGAAATGTACCTAGTACTTGAGCCGCGGTCAACCTTTTCGAACGGTCAAAGCACAGCATTCCCGAAATCAAATCCTTAGCCGAAAGCGAAATGTGATCCCAATTATCCGAATGGAAACACAAATTGGCAGCCCTAACAGCATCGAAGATGGTCGATTTGGTATTCCCCCAAAAAGGAGGAATTCCACTTAGCATAATGTAAAGTATAACGCCGGCACTCCACACATCTGCCGCCTCGTTATAACCGCCCACCAAAACCTCCGGTGCTATGTAAAACGGACTCCCAACTGTCCCGTGCAATGTCTCTCCTGTAATAAATACAGAAACTTAAGTACTTACTAGAAGCATATTGAAACAAAGAATGGAAAAAATCCACTTCGCCCCTATAAATTTTTCAGATTCGCACTTTCCGTCCTAAAAATTTAAAAACGAGACGACCCTCTTTAAAACATTGTTCTGGTTGCCCGTTGCAACCAAAACCCATTTTTTGGTGCGCAACGTGCAACAAAAAGAACATTTGAAAGGACCAACGTGCAACAATAATAAGATTCTAAAGGACTATAGGGGGAAATTGCAATAAAGACACTTAATTCCGGTGAATAACCCATCGGAATTTGGCTATCGGGCAACATGCAACAAAAATAACATGTTGAAGAGGACACTCACTTTTTTTTTTTTTTGAGGGAGGAAGGTGCAAAAATTGGAAATTTATAGGGGGTGAAGTGCAATTTCCCCAAAAAAATCAAATTTCAAAATCAGGATATAAACGTAATCTTTTTTAAATATCAGCAAAAACCCTCCAATGGTTCAATATTATCAGCAAACCTCCCCCTAAAAATACATTACTTAGGGCCTAGGGGGTTGTGTGCTAGAAGAAATGGATCACAGGGTCTTTTTTTGCTAATATATATAACACGGTTAGTTTTTTTAACAATTCGATATAACACAGGGTGCTGAATGCAATAAAACTCTAAAATTCAACGTACACCGAATAAAGATATTACCAGGTCTAATATAGGTGGTAAGACCAAAGTCCGCCAATTTGAGTGACGAAGAAGACCTCGACACCAAGAGTATGTTCTCCGGTTTCAAATCTCTATGTACAATTCCCTTATCGTGACAATACATAACTACTCCCATTAATTGCTTAAAGATAACATGCGCCTCGTTTTCCGATAACCTCCCCTGCTTCTCGATCCTATGGAAAAGCTCGCCACCCGCGCAAAGCTCCATCAGAAGATGTACGTAGTCGGCATCCTCGTACACAGCCTTGAGATCGACAACATTTTCGTGCCCGTGCAATTTGGTCATTATTTCGATTTCGAGCTTCACGCTGATGACATCATCCTCTGTCACGAGCCTCACTTTGGCTATTGACTTGCAAGCCAAGACTTCGCCGGTCAACTTATCGGAGCATTCTCTGATAATGCCGAATTTGCCCAATCCGAGTTGATCTCCAAGAATGTAACGGTCTCTAAAATTAGCCGTGTGAGTTGTGTTCAAGATTGTTTCGTTCAAGTCCGACGATTTGTAACAATTGCCAAGATTACCCCTATCGGTCAAACCCATAACACGATTACCACCCCTCTTAGCAACGGTTGCGGATTTGAACCTTAACTACGGTATTTTCAAATCTTAAAAAAACGAGACCTTCAATCGTTCTCATCCAACACGAAGAAATGCATTCATCGGCCCTTCTTCATCAGCACGAAAAGTGCAAATCTTTTGTGTATCCCTGATAAATTAAGAAGAAGAATTTCTCAAATAAAATTCCACACTTCATTTAAAACGACGTAGTATGATACAGAATAGAGTTGAAGGCAACAAATATACCCAAATTAAACACGATTAGCTCCAAAATCAAAGAAATTAACTGGAGATTAAGTACGCATCAACATCAAACAAATTGATTTAGAACAAAAACAACAAAGGGGGGAAGAAAAAAAAAAGTAAGAATTTTTACAGATTATACTAAACTTTTTGCAGGCGTACTGATACCATGATAAGCATTAAACCCTAGAGATAGAGAGAGAGAGAGAGAGAGAGAGAGAGAGAGGTAGAGAGGTACCTGAAGAGAAAAGGAGAGAAGATTGGGGAAGGAGCCGAAATTCACAAAACTCACAACTGGTTTCAAAATTCTGCGCTCTCTCTCTCTCTCTCTCTCTCTCTCTCTCTCTCTCTCTCTCTTTCTCTCTCTAATTCAAAAACGTTATTGTTACCGGGAACCGGAAGTGCCTGTATTTCTATTGCTTATAAGTTAAGTGAAGGGCATCCCCTAATTTACTTTAAATTTTTAATTGTTTTTTAGCCCCAAAACAATATTAAATTTCAATTTAAGCCCCAAAGTAGTGTTTTCCTGTTACCATCTAAAGCTCATGTGACGGAGGGGGAGTAAATGCGTTTAAAATTGAACTTTTAAGTTGTATTTTGTTCACTTTGGAACAATGGGAACCAAAAGGGGAATCGGGTGAAACATGAGGGACGAAAAATGTACATCTTCCTGATCTTATACATTTTTATATATTCCCATGTTGGAATTTTATTTAATTATTTATTTATTTATTATATTTGTAGAATTGTTTTTCTTAATTATAATTGTCTCCTCATAGGAACTAATTAATATACTTGGTCATTATATAAAAAAAAATTATACCAAATAAATATTAATCTTCTACGAACTATTTACATGTGTAATTGTTGCCTTCGAGAACTAGAGGACGCATGTTGCAGGCACTTGAGTGTTCGTTACGAAGTTGTGACACTGACAAATAAACAAGAACAGGAACGACACTTAGTATATGTTAAGTGTTGGCTCTTGATGCCACTGAAAGAATTAATGGCTCCGAATTCGTAGTAAATAATTACCAAAGAGATGTTTTGTGAAGTGTGATATAACATAACATGCAGCGGAATAAATGATACGAAATAAATAATTTAATATCACACGTAAATACTTGTGGATTGCCTTCAAAGGCGAAATACTTATATAAACAATATTACAAGAATACACAAGAAAAGTAAAAAAATATTCTATATTATGAAGGTATCTTACACAAATAATCTTCGTACAGTCAAGTCTAGCTTCTTTAATATAAACTAATAGATCTTTAAACTTACAAACTGTACAATCACGATGAGTACTTACAATAAATATTGAATAGATACAAAATAACACAAATCTATTTTCCTCTTTTCTTATAAATGCTCTCGTTTTTCTATTCTAAAATGTCAAATAAATTTTTGCAATGTGAACTTGAATTTATAGACTTCGGAACGCGTCCACTACCTTCACAAGTTAACCGTATTTTAGATTTTTTGTCCTGCATTTTTGTGTGTTTTATGTAAATTATATATGTTTCAATGAAGTTAGCAAACATGCAGGGGTGGAACCTGCATAATGAAAATGTAGGGGGGGCTAACTAAAATTTCAGGGTTTGGGGCAGCGCCCCGAAAAAAAATTTAGATTCACAAGACATTGCAAAAATAAGTTTATATTGTTATGTTTTAATTAAAATGTCTTATGTTTATAATTTTATCGTATTTTAAGCATGACAGAAAAATCTAAATTAATTCAATTATTCTAATAATGTATCGTAATTAATATTTTGGGGATTCATGGCATCGTCTCATATCAATTTTTAGAGTTGTTGATTAAAAAAATTCAAAAATAAGTAAATATTTATAAATTTTATTTCAAATAATACAAGTTTTCACCATTTTATTTTATATTTTTTTATTTTAAATATGATATATATATATATATATATATATATATATGGAGAAGCAACAAAAAAAATTAAGGATTAAGATACATATTTAAAAAAACTTTAGAGAGGCCAAAAGTAATATTAAAAAAATACAGTGCCAAAATACTTTTAAAAAATTATTTTTTCTAAATCTTGCGCGGGGTCTAACAGCCCCCACAGCCCCTGGTAAGTTCCGTCTATGCAAACATGCTTATAATACTTAAAAGGGTTAACTGCAAAAAATCCCCTAAACTTTGGACGTTTTTGCGCTTTACCCCTTGAACGGAAAAAAGTTGCACGAGCATACCTGAACTCTATTATTTTTAGCACCAATGTCCAAAATGTCCATTTTTGGCCAAAATTGACCGGAATCCAAGTCACGTGCCTTACACGTGTATATAGCTGGGGTAAATGCGTCATTTCCTTTACACCCATTTTCTTTCTTATCTTTTTAATAAATCTAAGAAAAAAAAAAAAAAAAAAAAAAAGGGAAAAAAACGCCTCTTCTTCCCGTAACCATCATCCCCAACCAAACTCCTCCCATCAACACCAGCCCCAACCAAAAGATGCAACAAAACAAACAACTCCTCTCTTTAATGTGGGATGTGTTTGACTGGTTTTATAATCCCGGTGCACCGGGAAATGCAGGTTGTGGCTGGAAGAGAAGATAGTGCAGAAGGATCTTGATAAAGTTGATTTCTCTTTCATCATCTATGCTTGTAAGAATTTATGATTTTTTAATTGTCTTTTTTTTAATGTTTCATTACTCGTGAAGAAAAAAGGGTTGGTTGATTAATTCTTTAATTGATTAGGAGGGTTTTTAAAATTTAAAGTTCATATTGGAATTAATAATGGATGATTTGAAGAACTGTAAACTGATTTTTTTTTTTTTTGAAGTTGTAATTTGTGAAATTGTGATTGAAGGTTTGAAATTATATGGAGAAAAAAAACCCAGTGATTTTGTGTTTCATTTGTGTTTATTCTTCAGATAAAAGAATAAATAAAAAAAGAGAAAAGATGGTGCGGCGGCGATGGAGATAGATGGTGGTGCGGCGGCGGTGGAGAGAGATGGTGCGGCGGCGGTGGAGAGAGATGGTGCGGCGGCGGTGGAGATAAATGGTGGTGCGGCGGCGGTGGAGAGAGATGGTGGTGCGGCGGCAGTGGAGAGAGATGGTGCGGCGGCGGTGGAGAGAGATGGTGGTGCGGCGTGTTCCCTTTTTTTTTTCTTTTTCTTTTTTTCTTTTTCTTTTCTCTTTTTTTATTTATTCTTTTATCTGAAAGTTTTGTGAATCGACGAAATTGCCCCCTCATTATCACGTGTGAGTTGCACGTGTGCAATTCAGGCCGAAATTTTGCTATAAATGGATTTTTTCATCATCGGTGCAACAATTTAACAAGTTCAGGTATGCTCGTGCAACTTTTTTCCGTTCAGGGGGTAAAGCGCAAAAACGTCCAAAGTTTAGGGGATTTTTTGCAGTTAACTCTACTTAAAATAACAAGTTAATTTATATTTTAACTGCTATTTTAAATAAAACTGAGTTTTATCTTGAAACAAATTATACAAAGGGCTCCATTTTGTTTTGGGAAAAATACGATTTTCATGTCTAAAGTTTGCACTAATTTCACATTTAATCTCAAATATTCATAAAAAAAACACATTTAGTCTCTCATGTTTCAAAATTTCAACATTTTTAGTCATTTTCGTCAATTTTTGAACATTATTAACGGAATGAAGCATATGCCCATCATTGCCCCTGACTGACGCAATAATGGTAGATTGACGAAAATGACAAAAAATGTTACATTATTGAAGTATGAGGGACCAAATGTGTTTTTTGTAAGCATGTGAGGCCAAATGTGAAATATGTGCAAATTTCAGGGGTGAAAACTGTAATTTTCCCTTTTTTTTTGTCAGTGCTGACATGGCTATCAGCAGTGTAATAAATTGCATTTTTAATTCAATTACTTTTATTTAATTTAGATCCAAGTGGAAGTTGTGAATATTGAAAGCAATCCAGCTTAGGGATGGCAGCGGAGCGGGTACCCTCGAAAAAGTGCAATACCATTACCATTACCATTTAATATAGCTCAAACCATGACCATACCAAACCCATTTAAAAAGTTCATGGAAAAACCAGAACCATTACCGCGAATATCCGGGTACCCACGGGTACCCATTTACCATTTAAATTACGGTAATAAAAAATAACTTTGGGTCCGATAACGTTTAAGTAACTCTCAGAAAAGAGGAAGAAAAAAAGAAAAGAGAAAAATATATATCCTCCCTAAATTATTTAATACTTTATTTAAAAATTTGCCAAAATATCATTTTTATTCATATTTTGTTGAATTAATATATATATATATATATATATATATATATATATATATATATATATATATATATATATATATATATATATATATATACATATATATATATATATTAAATGGTCGGGTACCCATGACCATGAAAGTAAAACCAGAACCATACCAAAACCATGACGGTTTTCTTTTCTCTTACCAAAACCATTACCAAACCCTAATGGTTTCGGTAACGGATTTTAAACGGAGCGGATACCCGCGGATAGCTAGCGGTTCGGGTTTTTTTGCCATCCCTAATCCAGCTGTATTTCATGTTCTACTTACTTAGCTGTACAGATTTTTACGTGTGGTTATAATTTATTTATTTATTATTATAATTTATTATTTCTGATACAAGTGGATATTTCCTATAAATTGTGATTTACCTAATTCACTCAAAATAAATAATAACACTAAACAATTGCCACCCAAATTACTTGAACAAAAAGGGATGATGATTAAAGTGATGAAAATCTATTGAGGTGATTGTACATTGACAATTTTTCATCTAATTTATCATTAGTGTTGACTTTTAATAGTTTATAAGGTCTCGTTTACTTGTTACTATCAAGTTAAGGCTTCTATGTCT